ATAAAGTAGATATAGAAGTAATAGTTGTCCTTTGAGTAATTGTTTCTGTGTATTCCAGTTCTGATGCATATGTGTCCCATGTGCTCAAGATTGCAATCTTCTGTTTGGCACGGTTCTTGAGGACCTTATGTATACCCTTAAGTATCCCTGTGCCTCATGCTGAGGGAATAAAAGCTAGGGCAGATGTAATTATCCCTCAGCTCTTTCATGTAAGCTGGAATTCTAGAAGCATCCATATCATGACTATCTTTCATATCCTTATATAAATGCTTTTTTTCCTTATGACTTGAGCCTAAATCTCCCAACTATAAAACTTGTGTCTCCCTCTCAGTGGTTACACATGGCATATTTCTGATGCCAGTAGACTTCCAATAATCCGGAAACTTTGGGACCTAGGTGGTGCCAGATTATCGGATATGCTGGACTATCAGGAAGTACTATAAGATGGTGTTATATATATATATATATATATATACACACTGTATACATTATATACTGTATATAAAGTGTTCCTAACTATTTTTATTGTACATACTGTATACTGTGATGTTTTAGTTTTTTAACCCTTTTTTACCCTTTTTGCTCAGTTCAACTGCTGCCACTGTTGCCTTGTGACTCGTTTTTTGCCAAAGCTCATTCACTAGGCTCTTGCCATTTTGATGCCGGACTATCAGGAGTGCCGTACAATTGGATGCCGGACTATTGGAGTTTTACTGTGTACATGGTCCACCTGCAGGCCTTTTCAGAAAAGTCTCAGAAAGCTAAGGAGGCTTGCCTCAAAACTTTCATTTAGACCCCTTTGTGTGGCCTCCCTCTGATCCGGGCAAGGCTGAAGGTTGTTATATCAATTCCTTCTTTGGATCCCAACTTCAATTACCTAAAAACTCATCCTGTACCTGGTTTGTTAGTGATTATGGTGGCCCACAAGATAAACAGAGCCACAGTTGAAAATAACACCCAAAGATAGGAAGTCTATGTATCTCTATTTATTTAGGAGAAAAAATGACTCATTGGCTGGCCTGCAGTTAAGAATTTCTACCAGTGTCTATAAATTCTTGTCTGCAGTGTAATACCTTATGTCAGCTCAAGCAGGGCAGCAGAGAGAAGCTCAGGTAGCTAAGCTCTGAGGAACAACTGATAATCAGAGCATCTTTTCAGGTTGCACTAACCTCATCAGACATGCTGACAAGTTCAATGGCAACTTAAGTTGCCATTAGAGCAATGTCCTGGTTACAGTCATGATTGAGGTATCCATGGGAGGCGAAGAGAATAATGGAAGATCTTCACTTTGAGGGCTGTGACCTTTCCAGATGTCAAATTGATGATGGCTTGCATTCACTGGAAATTTTTTAGGTCACTTTTATGCCTAGGAGCATAAGCACCAGCTGCTAGAGCAGTGGTTCCCAACCTTTCCGAGCACATGGACCCCTTTTCAATCTAGTAAAATTTCATGGACTCTCCAAACGATCAATTTTTGCCAGCCCAACTAAACCCTTCCCACCACTTTAATAACTTTTGAATAGTTAGAGCAGGGTGAAGTATTCAAAAAGGAGGAAAAAAATGGTAAAAAGTGACTGACCCATTTATAAGCTGAATCCAGAGTATAGCCATAGCATGTCAGCTTCAGCGTGGGCTCGGGGACATGCAGACTGCAGGGGGCTGGTGGGAGACAGCAGCCATGTGTGCCGGGTCCCAGCTTGCTTTTGATCCTGTTCCCTGAATGCTGAGGGAGCAAGGGGAAAGTGCTTGCATACCTGGTCACGGGTGATATGAAATTAAAGCAGTGGGCCTGAGGTTCCCATCCCCTGCTGTAGAGCATTTGAGAAAAATGCATTGGATTAAACTTCAGAGCTAAAATTCTATAATTTGATTTAAAACTAAACTGTTATTCCTAATACTTATAGGTTATATTCCCATTTCATTTATCTATGTAGTCACTTCAATAATTGATGACCTCCACAGGTTCAGGGTTTTCCCTCCCCTGCCAATTTACAGCATATTTGTTTTATGTCTGTCTTGTGCATGTAGTTAACATAAAAACAACAACAACATACAGTTTACAATAAAATAATCTGTCTCATTTTAGATGAAATGTGGATAGTGGTTGACAAGGTATGGCTCAAGATGAGACTCAGCCTTAATTAGATTAATCAATCAGCAGGTTACCAGCCCCATATACCCACTCGGGTGAACTCTCAGTCCTAGATGTAATTCTCTTTAAAGTTTTATGTAAAGATTGATTGAGTGTTAATAAGTTGGGCTGGGAATGGAAGATCTGGGGGACCATAACGTTCGGGGGCTTGCTGAGATACTTGACAGGCAGTTGGAACTGAGATAAGGAGTTTGATAGAGATCTGCTTCAGTCACTGTCTGAGTGAATACTGAATATACTAAGTGCATGGGAACTGTAGAATTACCTGTTTTCTGAAACAGTGTTACAATCTGCAAGATGTGTAGATGTAACCCAAATCTCTTGTTAGTAAGCAAAAACAAACAAACAAAATACCTCTTATAAAGGCCATTGAGGCATGAAAGTTATTGTTGTGTAAATAGAGTAAAAGGATTCTTCATTAGGGAGTTTAATGTTCATGGAGTAAATCAGAGTATCTTTCAGAAAATGTGTGTACTGGAAGAGAAATTCAAGGAAGTCCAGGGTACTCATTTTTTGGTGTCAGGAAGGGTTAGTATCTCCATCAGAAAGAATTGCCTCCTAAGATTTTTAACTTTTTTGGAAAGATCGAGATAAAATGCTAACTAGCACAAAATTATTCTAGCCCTTGCATCTTGTCTGAGATGGCAATCTGCAGAAATCAGTTATGTTTTGGGATATACGTGCTTTCCTGTAACCAGACTTGTCCAGTTGGTTTAGTCTACCAGGGTGTGTGTACACTTGCTCCCTAGTCCGAACTAGGGATACAAAGGTAGCATACCGAAGTTGCTAATAAAGTGCGGGATTTAAATATCCCGCGCTTGATTAAAATGGCGATGGGACGTGAACATGCTAAAAATCCACTAGTCCAAATTAACTTGCCATGTGTCGACGCGGTATTCCGAAAGAAACCCCTTCCCTTGGATTAACTGTTGTTCTTCATTGCACAATCCATGTGGTATTTTCTGAATTTTTTTTTTTTTTTTTTTACCGGATGGATCGGGCTCTTTCTTGAGGGGGGAGGGGGAAGCACTGGGTCGCCACGTGCCCCCCAGTTTGGGAACCTGTGCGTTAGATCACACTGTTTCATGGATCCCGAAGCTTAGAATGTTTAATTTCTAATCTCAGGTATGTCATGCTCTGCCTTACTGTGTACAGGCTTTGGGCAATTCACTTAATCTGTCTCAGTTTCCCTTTCTACAAAATGGGGATTAATGCAAAATGTTCATTAATCATTAATAATTGAGTTCTTTGTGTAGTCCTTTGGGGGTTATAAAATACTGTTGGTACATGCTACTTTTTATTATTCAGCATTGGAAAGTGCAAGTGTGATTACATTTCTAATGCTCCTCTACTGTTTTATGTTGACTTCAGCTGTTCAGCATTTATTTGCTAATAAACAAAATTGCTTGTATTGGCTTTCTCTACTTGGTACCATCAAGCAGTATTTTCTAAGCATTTTAACACACTTTTTAAAGCTCTTTGAAATGTTTTCTTTGTGATACTACATAATTCCAGTCTGAAATTTAGTAGAGAAGTGCAGTGATGATAACAATACTTTTTTTTTGCCAAAAGTCTGAAAGCCTACAGAAGTCAAGTCTATGCCAGAATACTTGCATTTGTTTAAATATCACCAGCTGAAAATATTAACTTGTTAAATGTTGTTTGGTTTTAGGCAATATGCCGGCTCCTGAGCAAACCCCTTTGGGGGAGGAGGGGCTGCAGCAGACCACCCAGGAAACCTCCACAGGACCGGGCATGGAGCCAGAGACCACTGCCACTACCATTCTAGCATCTGTAAAAGAGCAGGTATTTTTATTTTCTTCTGTATCAGTTCAGAAGTATAGTATGGTTTTCAGAATTAAGTGTGTTCTACTCTTTGTTTTTGTTCCTTTCCTATTCCAACTCAAGAATTTCTAAAAGGTTTTTCCTTTTCTGAACTTACTCCAGGGGAAATTCTGCTCCATTGCACGCACACAATTCATGTTCCCCGAAGTCTCCTTCTATCCCCCGCCCCCACCCTGAGAAAAGTACATTCTGCTGGAGAGGCACTGCAGTTACCCCATTTGCCTTCTACGGGTTCCTGTGGTGCCAGAAGAAAAGGTAGCTGGCTCCTGAGCCACAGCATCCAGGTATAGAGAGGGAGAGAGCACAGGCAGCTTTTCTCAGTGACATGCCTACAGGGCTGAGTAAGGGGTACACGGGTTGCTGGGGGGCATCACATAGACTGGGGATCAAAAGGGTTAATGGGAGGTATAGACTAGGGATGTTAAAATGCATGTAATTAGTAAGAAAATTTCAGTGGCTACATGCAGGGTAGCAGTTGGCTCCCCGGTAGCCAGTGCACACGAGAGCCAGTTTTTAAGCTGGAACCCCGTACATACTGGCTTTTGCTTGCCGCCCCATGCTGCTGCCTCTGTGTTAGTTGGCTTTTAACGTAGCTCCCCACGTGTACCAGGAGCCTGTGTAACCATGAACATTAACCAATGAGCCTGGGGTGATGTGTTCGCACAGTTATGCTTCTACATCCCTAATACAGACTTGGCAAGGACATAGTAGCATTGAGCCAGGGGCTGAATGGTATTGGGATGCAGAGACATTTAGAGGAGGAGTTCAGAGAAAGACAGGCACATCTGCCCTACCCCAGAATGAATAGGGGAGCGGTTAGCCAGGGTCTGCATGGGGAAGTCTCTCCAAATCACTAGTAATGCCCCCCCTGCTCCCACTACCCATTTCTCCTCCCTGGCCCCTAAAACCTTCCAAGTTCACTCCCAGTCTCCTTCCCAGAAATTACTTTCCTCTTTCTCAGCTCTTGTGTTACTCCAGAATTCCCCAAGCCTTAGCAATGCTTCTGTGGAGTATGGGAAATACATTTCTGTAATGTAGTTTAAATGAATTATTAGTCACAATTCTGTATCATTATGACTAATAAGGAATCTATCAGTAAAACATTTTCTGAATCTTTTTCATTGTTTTCTGTATTGTTGCAGCCATACAGGCTTCTTGAAATAAACTACCAAAATAATTGAAACTGGCATGAGTATTTTGACCAAAAAACGCAGAATTTTAAAATACAGTACTGTGTGCAGAATCACCAATTCTACTTTAAACATACCATATTTATCATTGTGCGTTGTTCTTACGGTTTAGTCTTCTGTTCGAAAAGTTTCCGGAAAGTAATATTTTGCTTGCTTGAAATGAAGTTGAGCATAAGTTTGAATTGTCATTTTGAAGAAAACAAGGATTTTTTTAAAGAAAACTTTGTAACTGAAATATAGAATTGAAACAATACTAACATTAAGAGAAACAGTAATTGGGTACAAGAACTAATACTTGGAAGGCAGACAGCCCTCTGTCCTGGATTTCTACATGCAATACACAACTTAGAAATGTCTCTTTTCCAAAAGTATATTTCTGATAGCTTTATTAATATTAAAAATCAGTATGAAATTCAAATTAAGAACTTGGAATCCAAATAACTATCATAACAGATGTCATAGTTTGTCCCATTTTTAATATTAATCCTTTGATTTTTAGAGTGATAAGGATAAAATATAAAATCAAGAAGATCACTCATTGTTCCAGTAATCCATGTGTTGCAAATTGTGATACCTATGTAAACAAGACTACAGTGCTGTAACAGTTTTAAACAACTGAATTTCTTTGTTTTTGTTTTTACATATATATACAGGCAGTCCCCGGGTTACGTGCAAGATAGGAACTGTAGGTTTGTTCTTAAGTTGAATTTGTATGTAAGTCGGAACTGGCATCCAGATTCAGCCACTGTTGAAACTGACCAGCAGCGGCTGAATCGGACATGCCTGGGGCAGAGCAGCGGGGGCGCTGCCAGGTTGGTCCCTGCAGCACCGCACCTCGGCACTGTGGGGACCAACCCGGCAGCACCCCAGCTGCTTTGTCCCAGGTGTACCCAAGTCAGCTGCTGCTGAAACTGATCCGCGGCTGATTCCAGGGAGGCCGGGGCAGAGCAACTCGGCCTCGGGCTTCCTGCAGTCAGCTGCTGGGCCGTTTCACG